GTAATGCCAAATGAGTGTTTGCATTGCCTTCACAATTTCGTTTTTGCATCCGTCTGTTGCCTGCTTTTCCTTCCAGTCAAAGGTGCAATGTCACAATTAGAAGGCTAAGAATGAATTAGGAGACAAGCAAGGAACCTACTGGTCAGCTGTGAGCATCAGCAGAGGGGATGGTTGAGAGATGCTTTCTATAGACAGCCTCCAAATAACATGCTCTTCATGCTCAAGAAACCAAGTCTCAAATAGCTGACAGCCCAACTGCTGCCTGTCTCAGAAAGGGAAATACCTAAATGCAGCTCCTGATTAGCACGTCTCGATAACCAGTTTACTTTGGAAATTTCCATACCTTTTCTTCAGCATTTTGCTTTGTAATTAGCCAGTTTCATGACTTGATGGGGCCACTTCTTCACAACTCCTTTAAGGAGATTTGGGGATTTAATGTAATGGCTCCACTGCAGATCTGTTGTGAGGGAAAAACTGTTTCTGTGTACGTTACATTTTGTTTTCTCTCTGTGACTCCCTAGTAGTTATTGAAAAACTCTGCTAAGCCTTATCCTGTCTGATTAAGGGCTTAACCTGTTATAGTTAATATATTAATAATATCCAATGTGTTTTCTAGCAGAGAACTGCTTGAGAGTGGGATGGAGGGAGCAGGACTGTTATTTCCCTATTTAAATATAGCTCACAAATACTGAAACATTTATGGTTTGGCTCTTGATGAGGAGAGAGTAATTTTCTTCAGTCTCTTTCCTTTCCTTACAGGGTATAAAAATGGTAGCCAGAAGTAGTTCAGAGAAGAGAAATTTTGTCATCCAATTTGTCTTTATGTACCATTTTGGGATCCAACTTGGATCTAGTCCTGTGAGCAGAAGCAGTTTTTTGCATGTTCTTTTTTTTCCTAGTTCAGCTGAATGGAGACAGAATTTTCACCTCAAGAATGCTGAAATCATGACTTGAGTTTCTCCTGAATGATGGAACTCTCTGGGTTTTCCTTAAGAGAAGAATCTGGAACAATTATTTTTTATAATAATTGAATAGATTTTTGTGTATTTTGTGATTCCAGAGGGATTTAATGTATTTCCTTCTAGCCCCAGTCTTTATGTAACGATGAAGTCAAAAATGTGTTCTTTAAAACGGGCAGACCCAGGAGATTCTGGTGAGGTTGCTGGTGATGGGGCACAGGGGTTGGTGGGAATATCATTGGGATTGTAATAAATTCATAGGAATTGGCCACATTGTAAAGTTTCTTTTCTGTTTCTCATTGTGCGACTTGCTGATTCCCTTCTGTTCTCTTATCATTCATGGAAGAAGAAAATAAAAGAGGGTATAACTTTTGTTCCTTATAGGGGAACAGCCCTTTTATCAAGGGCTTCTTTTTGTCGTGCAAGGAGGTTTCCGTCACCCTTCTCCTCTTCTTCTTTTTTTTTTTTTTTCCCTGGGAATTTTGCCTTTTGAAAAGGAGAATGTTGCTCAGGACAGGTTCTCTCAGCATCAGAGGCTTCGTGCTCTCAGAGCTGCCTTCTATTTTACAGCTAATATCAGCTTTAAAAAGGAGCAAATAGAAAAGCCGTGTCTCGGAGCCGCAGAGGCTGCCTCGGCTCTGTGCAGGCAGGAGAATGAGCTTCCTAAAGCCTTTGTACTCCTCGGAAGGGCATCTTTTCTTATAGCAGAGCTCATTTCAGTAGGATATGGCTATGGCAGCGGGAGGGCATTGGGAAGGAGCATTAGCAGGGGCCAGGCTGCTTGGGGCCGCTTCTGTTTCTCCTTCCCAGAGCTCAGAGGCGGTGCTGTCTGACAGGCGAGGGGTTTGTCAGGCTCTGCCGCGCTGGAAAGTCACTTCTCCTGGAAAACCAAAGAGCTTAAGACCTCTGATCTCTCCGTTACCCCTTTGCTCTCTCCTACCCTTAAGGGTCGAAGTCCAGGTTTGAACTTTTCCAGATGCTGTCGATTTGATAGGAGGCTTTTGCTTCCAAAAACCAAGCTGAGCCCAGAAATTTTCATGCGACACTCTGCTTTTGATGGCTCCCAGCTGATGCGTTATCCAGAAAAAGCACTCTTAGTATTTATGACCAGAAATACGTGCATTTTAGCCTCTCTGTTGGTTTTGGTCATTTAGAGGGTTTGTTTTTTGTAGTTGCTACTTAGAGCTCCCTCATATAAGTCACTCTGATAGAGCTCTGAGACAAAAGGTTGGCATTAAGGCCACTTTCCCAGAGAAGAACAGCATTTTGAACCTTCAGCTTGAGTTCAAACTTCAAGGCATTGATATATGCAAAAAAAAAAAAAAAAACAAAAGATTTGATGAGCAATGTTGGCTTTGCCTAGTCAAAAACAAGTCTGGTATTCCTAGTGCTGAACATCCAAGGAAAAAAGGATCTTGGGGTCTTCCAGGATAGCTGTTGCCAGTTGTTGCCATTTTATTCCAGATATCTTAATCCAAAAGTCAGGGTTTTCATGGATTAATGGCGAAAACAGTGCAGACTAAAAAGGAGAGGGAAGGCAGTAGAACGGGCCTGGCGAACGCGCTACAGAGTGTGTGTGAGGAGGAGGACAGATGACAGGAGCCATCCCGGCTGTGCCCTTGGGGTGACGCATCTGGACCTGGAGTGCACACTGCAGCTCCTCTGTGTTTTTGTTCATAGATGAAAAGGAAAAGGGAGAGGGAGGAAGGAGGAGAGAGAGGGAAGAAATGAAAATTGATTGCAGGCATCCAGCTCGGCAAACAATTTCTTAATTTCTCAGGAAGGCCAGAGAGGTTGCAGTGCTTCCCTTCATCACCTGGTTCCTGGTGGCTGACCAGATGTGCAAGCAGAACAGTAACTCACTTTTTTTAATTATTATTCTTATTACTCCTTCCTGAAGGAGTAATATCACAGTGAAAGAGGAATCCTCCTGATTTTATTGCAAGCATAAGTGTGTAATTTCCTTGGAAAGGAAAAAAAGCTCTTTTTCATGCTTATCACTGAAAATGTGTCAGTTGCTAAGATGATGAATTAAATATACCTGTTGTATTGCAACATGAAGACAACCTAACATTTAATATGCAAGTCTGGTAAGGGCTGATGGGAAAAAGAGCTTTAAACAGAGAGCAGATCTTACTGTTTTTCTCCCAAATAACTGTGCATCTGGATGCATTTCTAAAATAACTTGTGAGCGGGGAAAAGCCCTGCAGTGGAGCGGTGCCAGTGTGGTGTGCGACGTGGCTGGCGCTGGGAACGCCGCTCCCGCTCTGCGCCGGCGACGTGGGTGCTCCCTGGCGCGCGGCCGGCAGGGCCCGGGGTGAGCAGCGAGCCCGGCACGCGCCCAGCCGGCGCCCCGGCCGCTGCGCCCTGGATAACGCGCCGCTCACTGGGAATGTCAGCGCAGAGGGTGCTCTGGCACTGCCTCCAGCAGAGGCAGCTGCTGGTGCTTGTGAGGCGCCGCGCCTGCCAAGGGGGCCTGCTCCCGGCACCCCTTCCTCCTTTATCCAAAGGAGGAAACCAGCTCTTGAGCACTTCCAGCAGGTGCAGAGCCAGCGCGCTCGCTCTGCTCCATCCACGCTGACATCATTCTCTTTTCTTTCTGGGTGCCTCCCTACTGGGATGGCGAGGCCTTCCTGGGGCAAAAGCTGGTGCTTGTCATGGGAGCGCGGGGAATGGATTGCCAGGGAGCTGAGGGGCCCAAGAGCGCCGGTTGCTGTGTCTGTGCATAAATCACCTTTGCTAATTGTCACAAACAGGGACAGGCTGAGTAAGAGCCGGTGATAAACACAGCAGATTCCTGCCAGTCCCAGCAGCTTTTTGCAAATCCAGACAGCTTGCAGGAGTTGCTGTTTTCAAGAAAAAGTGTCCCATGCTCTGCATTACTCCGTAGGTTTTTGAACAATGGAGGCGGCTGAGCAATGAAATAAAATGACTTTGCCATGTGCTTCAGGCAACATCTTCAGCTACTGCCTCTGAGATTTTTGGCAAGGGCAAGAAAAAAAAAAGGAGAAAAAAGAAAAAAAAGAAAAAGTGTATGTGCAGGTGATCGTTCCCAAGAGAAAATTGGTATGCCCAAATGGAGTAGCTTGGTTGCCAGCATGCGTGTTTCACTTCGGGCCAAAGTACAGCTTAAAAATTGCAAACGCTGATGGAAGCTGCCAACGTGACTTCAGGTTGGCAGAAAATCTGGCCCATGGTGACAGGCGGGGGGTATTTCACTGTAATTGTGCTTTTGGAGGCCAGGTTTGATAAGTCAGGAGGTACTTGTAGCAGTGCTTGGTGCTGGGGCAATGAGCAGCTGCTGGCCATGGTGCTCGGTGCACGTGCTGGACGTGACCTTTCCACTGGTGCCCTTGCTGCTTGGCCAGTAAGTGCTCGTGCACGGAGCCCCACGGAAGGGCAAGTGGCAGGCAAGGCTCTGGGCTCAGGGTTAGCCCGTTGGGCAACGCAGGGAATCGCCTTCTTGCTGAAGCAAGGTAAGTGTTTTTGCAAGAGATCCAGTATGGAACGTGGGCGCTGACTTGGCCTGTAGTATTTAACTGTCCGTATTTCGGCTATCTTGGAGGTAGATACATGCTTAATTTTTTGGAAGTCTCTGTCATTTATTCTTTGTTTCTTTTTTTTTTTTTTCCACATCCCTTTTTGGTTTAGCATTTCAAGAGTAGCTTTTCTGTAAGCAATCCTAATTATTCCAAAGCATCCTTTTTCAGAGTATTCACCTGTGTTTTGGCAGAAACTGTATTAACAGCCTCTTGAGGAAAAGATGTGGAAAGGTAAAAGGTGATAATGCAGCTTTTGCAAATACGATGTGCTTTGCTCGTCACGCAAAATACTCAAGAGAGGGATTCTAACAAGATCAGATGGGAAGTTCTTCCTATGCTCTTGCATGAGCAAGATACTTCCCCACCTTGAAATCCACGAATTCAGAGGCTGAAATGTGTTTATCCCTTCACATGAAGGGAAATTAAAGTATATTTTCTTGCAGGACAAGGGCTAATTTTCTCTCTCTCCATCTTCTCTTTCCTTCTTCCCCATATCCAGCTTCTGCGATCCCCGATAATGGAAGGAGATCCTGTCTAAAGCTTAAGGTCTTCGTGCGACCAGCAAGTAAGTTCTTTACATTAAGCTTTTAAGGGTGGCTCTGTAGCGCATGCTTTACTGTGTGGTTTACCGTGGTAAACAGCAATGAAACTTTTTTTTTAACTGTTAGATCTTGTGTATCTGCTCTGTACAGCAGCATTTGTGTTATGATTTTCATCATATTTTCTTATCATTCTTCATTAAGCTTTGTTTTAATTACGTGGCAATTGCTAACTTGTTGTTTCTTAAACTGTTGTACAAATGGAAGGCTACTGGCATTTAGACAAGTGCCGCAGACTTTAAAATATAAATATACTTACTTTTATATAACGAGTAGAGAGAAAAAAAGATAGAGAGAAAAAAAAAAAGTGGGGAGTTCAAGGGTGTCTCACTAACATATTTGGCTGTTATCTCTATTTTTGTTATAGACAGCTGTATGAAAACTATAGGTGTTCATGATCGTGTTTTCGATGTTAACGACAAAGTAGAAAATTCATTAGAACCAGCAGGTTAGTATGCTTAGAGAATCTCTTTTAACAAATGCGTCTCTCCCTCTGGTGCTTCAGTACTTTTTTTCCTCTTCTCTCTGCATGCTTTGCATGGTATAATTGCTCTGCTTTTGCTCATTTCTAGCAGTGCTAATATCGCTTACGATCTATTTCCTGTGCCCTCCTTTGATGCAGGGGAGCAAAACCGCTGTTTTGAGGGGTGAGGGGGGTGAGGAGGACGTGGGCTGTGCTGGTGTTAGGACTCGAGCGAGGTTTCCTGCAGCGCTGGCCGTGCGTGCGGCGCAGCGGGCAGGCCCTCGCCCTCCTCGAGCACAGGGAGCTGCTCCCTGGCGCCGGCTTCCCCGAGGCTCCCAGAGGGAGCAGCACCACTGCTTGCTTGGTGGCGGCGCATGGCACGGGCACCCAGCCGTAGCAGTAGGAAAGAACGGCAGTCCTTTAAAACATGCAGGTGGATTTCAGTGTTTGCTTAGGCTGAGCATTAGATTCCACCTACACACACGCACATATGTATGTACAACTTAGACATCTAGATTTTACTGGGGCAAACTTAGGCTTGCATTTTAGGCTTTTTCTCCCCTCTCCCTTTCTCTCCTCCCTCTCTCTTCTCCAGAAATAACCCACAAAAGAGAAAAGCCTCCTGTGCCCTGGGCAAGGTTAGGTTAGCTCCCACTGCAAAGCTCTGTTTTTCTGTGGGCAGTGCATGGATATGCTGAGGTGCCCGAGATGTAGGGCAGATAGAAGCATGTCTAAGTCTAGCAAGGTGTGAGCAATCTCACCAGCTTCACTGCTGCGGCTCATTCAAATTAGATGGGTCTACAGGAAAGTTATTGCAGCAATGTTTACATGTCTGTTTTATGTGTACCCACACACAGCTCGCACAGTGTTTGCATTCAAGCCTCAAAAGTTCAAGAATGCACTTAAATAAACAAGATATACCAGAAAAAAAAATATATACACATATGTACCACTTAGTGCATACCCTGAAGAACGGATTAGCAAGATCTTTCTCTCTTTTAGGTTATTTGAAAGGAGACTTTCCCTTTGGTATGAAGCAACAGATTATTACATCTTGCTCTTTGATACTCTGGATTAATGCTTGCTGATCCTTTAAATAGAAATCATTATTTAAGCAGGAATATAAATAACACTTTAACAAGTTATCCCATTTGAATGATTTGCCTTTGAATATACACTGGATTTCATTATTTTTCTTGAAGAGAAGTTTTAAAACTCATATAAATATTTTGATTTTGAGAATATAGGACATTCTCTAAGCAAATGTAAATGTAAGTAAGGCTTATTCATAGTAGAGATACATTTATGCTTTTAACTGTAGTACTAACCTTCCAGAGCAGGAGTTTGGGACAATTATTCCCTATCTCTGGGTAACCTATGAAACTCAATGTGTTCTTTTATATTTTGTGTTTTGGTGAATAGAAGTCAAGATATGTTTATCCCTCCTGCTTATTGCCTTGCAAGGGAGGAGTAATAAACACATGAATTTAGGGAACTTACTGAGTGATTTTATGTTATTTTACTCATCGCTGCCGAGCACTTCACCACTGAGCGGCCGTGCCTCGCCAGCCCTGCCACAGAAACACACCCGTAGAGAGCATCAGGCCACGGTGACAGGGGGGCTCGCAGCCTCTGCCGCTCCATGGGAGGCTGTAGGAGCCTCCATTGTCTCAGAAGTCAGGGGAACAGCCTGCCCTTTCCCTGTCCTACCCTGCTCTTCCTCTTTAATAATAATTAAAATAAAAGAATCCCTGCAATAAAAATGGTGCGTATCTGGAAAAATCATACTTTGAGCTTCTGATGTAAAGCTATATGGTCTGGAAAATTCATGGCTGTCAAAATATATATTTTTTTCTAATTACTGCTAGCATTCCTTGTCTTTAGCAGTGACCTTCCAGACTTCACTAGTGAATTTTGTCCTCTTCATCGCTTGCCTTCAGTGCTAAAATAAGCTAAAACTCCCTAAGTATTTGAGATTGTGCAGTGTTATAACTGTGCACCTCCAAGGAAAATCATATTTGTAAAGCGATTTTGAGAACTACACGTGAAAAGTGTGCTCTAATATACAAGTGCACAGAGACCTTGGGACTGCTTTGACAGAAAACCCAGATGGTTCCTTGAAAAGAATCCCTTAAAGTTACATGAAAATGAATTTTGCTGTGAAGAATGACTTCATAAAAATGGCAGCATAGAAGATCTTCACATTTTTTATTTAAGTAGTCTTCTAAATTTAGAGGTTTTTTTCAGTTCTGCTTTTCTTAGCAGTCACCAGTGCTCAAGGAGCAGAGCCTCTTGCTGCTGTGTACCAGTTCTGACCCACGAATGTCTCAGTGCTGGCTCATGCATGTGACTGGGACAGAGCTGCTGACATCCCTGTTGCAGACTGGGGAGAGACCAGCAATTCCCACCTATTTGCAGTTCCATTGACGACACAAGAGGTAGAAGATAACACATCCTGAGTCTTGGGGAGATTTTCCCTGCCAGGCATTCCTAAGGAATGAGGAATTTCCATGAGTTCTTTTTTTTTCCTGCGGATTTTAGGCTTTCTTGTGGTGCCCACTTTTGTCCCTGTCGTACGGCGCTCGAATCCTCGCAGCGCTGCATGCCGGCTTGTCACCCGCCTGCCCCGGGCAGCGCCGTGCGGAGCTCTGATAGAGAGCCCTGCTGGGCAGCGGTCCTGGCCTGATGCTGGAGAGCCAGTTAGTCTGGATTAGCCCCAGAGCTCTCCCCAGAGCTCGGCGGCGGAGGCACCCAGCGGGCCTTGTCTCTGGCTAAAGCCGAGCGATTTAAATGGTGCCGTTTCAGAGCCCCGTGCGCTGCTTTAGTCCTGTCCCTGCTGCTTCTCTTGCAGCCCTTAATTGCACGTGCAGAGCTCTCACCTGGTTGGTGTAATCCTGCTTGTGCAACCTGCTGAGAGAGGGACCGCGAGGCAGGGGCGGCATCATAGGTGCGAGGGCAGCTCCCCAAAGCTTGGAGCTTACCACACCAGGCACTGAGACAACGGAGATTTCCCTGAAAACCGGGGCACTCACAAGTAACCTGGGAAGACATCTGGAGGCCACTTTGTGCACCCTGAAAATGTTGAACTGGTTTCCTTCACTTAGTATGAAGAAAATTCAAACCCAGAGCTGGCTTCTTATGGCAATTTCAGGCAGATAACTGTTAAAATAGGCAAATTAGATAACTGGGGATGTGGAGGATTTTATAAAGGCAAATCACTCTAACAACGCTTAACAGCTGCATTTGACTTCCCTGCTTTTTATTTAACAAGCAATGGCTCTAGTGTTGATCTTTTACTTTAGAAAACTAAATGGAGCTTTATTCAGTATCAGAAATTTAGGGGAGTATTTTCTACTGCTTTCTCCTCTGCTACTAACCTAAAAGCATGTTTTTCCAACAAAGCTGGTTCTCTTTTTCGTTAGTTTTAGCAGCATATTTGTAAATTCGTGCTTGTGTAGCCTAAAACTTAAGCTATTACCTATGAGACATTTTTCAGATTGTATATGAATCCTGTAAAGTCAGAGGATGCTATGTGTTAGCCCTTAAAGCTAAGTGGCCAGAGAGAGAGGCTAGTATCACGTCCCCTGGGTATCCCCAAAATGCAGTGTACTTCAGCGGAGGTTTTGTGTGTGGAAGAGGATTGTATGCGCAGCCTTACAGACTATCATTTCAAAATTAGGAGGTAAAATCTGCAACTCAGTAAGGGGATTAACGTGGAAATTCATTCTGAGCACGTGCAACTCCTCTTCAAGCCCTTTTGAAGACCAGGTATTTTTATTTAGCTGTCCAGCCATTGGCTTTGCTGTCTAATGAGCCATCCAAAGCTAGAGCTGCACTGTTTTGTAAGTGGAGGAATTCTTCACTCCTCAGTCTGTTGACATCGGCCTCACTTTCTGCTCCTCTGGTCTTCAGTGGGAGTCTTGCCAGCAAGAAATGCAGGACTTGGCCCCAAGTTGGTTACATAATGAGATATTACACGGTTGTGAAAGTCAATGACAGCACAAGGTTCATTGCCCTGCTTCATAAAGGCCCTGAAATCTCCTTGCAGTTGTCAGCTCCGCGAGAGGTACTTACGGATGCACGGTCTCACTGGAATGTGTGCTTTGTGTTTGAACAGATGACACCGTACATGAGTCAGCCGAGCCATCCCGTGGTGAGAACGCGGCACAGACACCGAGGATACCCAGTCGGCTCTTGGCAACTCTCTTGTTCCTCCTGGCAATGCTTTTGATATTATAGCACAGTATGCTCCAGCAACCTGCCGCAGCAAATACCAGGGTCTTGGAACATCAAAGATCCGCCTACCTGCTCATCCCAAGAAAGGGACTTTATATTGGTTTTGCAGATGTCAAATCGTTATTTTTTTCTTTTCCCTTATTTTTTTCCCCTTTCAGCTTGAACTCTGAGCAAGAATTTGAGGGGAATAACTAGTTTCAGCACCCGTCCCTACCCTGTGACTTTCTTAACCCCTTCCAACAAATAAAAGGACTCCAAATGAAAATGCCAAATTATAATAGTGACACTAGTGATTCTTATTTTCCTCTGCATTCTCCTTTAAGAAGTCACCTCTGTAGGCTCACTGTGTCGTCTCTATGTGGAAAAATAGTGGGAGATGCAGTCAGTGAAGGATAAGGAAATCCCATGAAAGCCTGAGAGGGACTTGCTCTCCGACACAATATTTATGCCTTCTCATTCAGCACTGTAAGATGATCATGCAAGGCGCCGTGTCACCGTGTCAGGACTGGAGGGGACGTATTAACAATAGATATAATATACCACCATTTCCTCTAGGAGTTTCTAAATGAGCGGGCTTCTAAAAGGAAGAGACAATGTTTCTTAGAGGACTGTCTTGAAATATCTCTGACAGTGACACTTGTGCTTAGCAGTAGAAATGCTGTCTTTGGTGAGAGGAAGAAGTGAATATTTAGGAACGTTAGCACACAGCAGGCAAGGTCAGATCTAGAAAAATTCACTGGGGGTGTGAGTGCCTCTCTTATTTCTGTTTAAGTGGATAGTGCATACCAGATTATTTTATTTCAAAACAGATCACCATGGTGCTACAATCTTTTTTTTCTTGAAATGCAAAGAGGCATTTTTGAGAATAAAGTGACCTTCCCCAGCGCTGACTAAGTAGCTGATAGCCTTGGATGCTGCTCTGCGTGTTGATACATGGTAAGAGAGGACATCAGTGGCCGGAGGAAACCTGTTTGGGACACAGGATCTTCAATGTGCTCTTGATTTGTCTCCCCTGCAAGTTCCTCAGTCATGGGAATAAAACACAAGTAGAAGAAGCCAGGACAGTCTAGCAGCGGTGTTTGGTGGGGGAAAGAAGGGTAGGATATGAATTCAAGCGTTGTCCAAGTGTATCTTTTTCCCTTTCCAGCGCGATGTGAAGAGTAGAGGAAACGTGTTTATCAGCAGGAGATAAACTAGATGGGCTCCCAAAGACTTAACAAAATATTTTTTTAAAAATCCACTAGAATAGAAAATACATTATTTAGATATACTTTATGCTGAGAGTGAGTATATATGCTTGTCCTATTTAAACTTGTGAGAGAAGTGGTAGCCCTTGATGCAATTAGGATATGGGACTGACTTTGTTGATGGAGTTGAGAGGGACCCTGTTGAAGGAACCTGAACCTTGGCGAAGGTTGGACTTGAAGAAGTCACCTGCCTGCCAGGAGATGCAAGCCTGGGGGTAGGTTTTTGGCAAGGCTGCCATGAGATGAGAACTGCAAAGCGTATAACCAGGGAAGTATCAGACCAACAGGCAAACAAGGCTTTTCTAGCAGCAACCGGGATAATTATGTTAGATGCGAAATGAAATGTGGAACGCCTTCAAACAAAACAAAGATTTTTATGTTAATTGTGAAGAAAATGTCTGGCGTGACAAAATTGAGCGATACCGTTAACGGGTCAGCATTGGGGGAGTTTTTGTTTTTAAGTGAAGAAAAGCTTTCCTGAAGTTGTAGGCAGCCTGTTCCTGGCGAGAGGAGGAAGGGGTGTTAAGGTGCTGAGCTCGAAGGGAGGCTGTTGAGAGCGCAGCCGGGGCTTGCCCGGTGCCGCTCCGCGTGGCCGCTGCTGCGGGGCCTGCCCTTGAGGGGCAGCCAGGAAGCCGCCTCGCGAACCCGGAGCGACCCTCCGAACGCGTTGGGAGCCGCGGCCTCCTCGCCGCCTCCTCGCCGCGGCCTCCTCGCCGCCTCCTCACCGCCTCCGTGGCCCTGTCCCGCGGGGGCGCAGCGGCTGCCTGCGGGTGGGCGCTAGAGCTCTGCACGAGGGGCTGGAGGATCAAGGCGCGCCCCGGCCGTGGGCTCCTAACCAGGGTGCGGATAGCGCTGGGTGCTCCGTTAGGGTGACCCATAACAGCCGGACCTGTTAACTCACGGCGCAGCGTCGCTCGGGAGCGGCGGCCGTAGCGGTTCAGCCGTAGTCTCTGCGTGGCGCTGGGCGTTGAGGTGTGCGTCTGTGCCCGCCGGTTGCCTGCGCTCGTGGCGAAATGCGGCCCCGGCCGCCTCCTCTAGCGGCGCGGCTCGGGTGAGGGGCAGCAGGAGCGGGGCAGGCGGCCGCGGATCCCTGCGCGTGGCAGGCCGGCCCGGCCTCACCTTGGCGCTTGGTGGCATCAGGCAAGCCCTTCGATGCGCGCTGCTGCGCTCTGTGTTGGTCGCAGATCCCGGGATGCTTTGAAGGCTGTTGGTGTGAACCCAAAGCAGGTTTCTGCCCCCTGCCCCTTATCCACCCCGCGAGAGGGGCCCGCGCGCCAGGTCGCGTCACCCCCACGAGCTGCGCTCCTGGTAGCCGAGGGCAGTGCAACGTGAAGCAGGGAAACACGGCTCAGTCGGTTTAGTGGATACTGTGTATCCTTTAATAGACAAGGTAACATTTCGTGTTAGTTTAGAATATTGTTTTGTACTGTACTTTCTTGGATGGCAAAGGAAAGACGATTAAAACTTAAAGCTATGTTCTTTAAATTCTGTATTATTAGCAACCTCTGTTGTATATAGTGTTTGATAATAAAGTATTAATTTGATTCTTATGTCTTTTGTAAGTGAGAACAATAGACTTTCAGGATATTAAAATCATGCATTGATTACAAGACAGAGCTTTGAAGCATCAAGCGTGATCATGGCTGAGAACTGCGTGACGAGTGGCCATGACTCCGCGGCATACAGGACTCATCTGTGAAAATCGTTCATCTATTGCAAGACTTCACAATGTCAAGACCTGGAACATGACTTTCGATGATCAATGTTTTGTCCTCAGTGTTTTAAGGTCTGATGTTGGAGCCCTGTGGTTTTTGTGTTAGTTTTTTGTTCTGTTTTTTTTTTTTTTTGTTTTTTTTGTTTTTTTTTTTTTTAATCATGTTTGTTTCTAAAAAGGCTTTGGGGACCTAACAGCTCTTCTTTTGTTTCTCTCTTTCCTTTTTTAAAGCTTTTCTTTCCCCTATTTCCCTTCTGGTTTTGTTTCCATGAATAGTTTTTGCAGAAGGATCTTGCCAGTGTCACATGTGATATATGTACGTACTTGATTCCAAAACGACTAGAGACAGTTTGGGGAGGGATCTGATGTAGATTATTTGCTTTCCCGTGTAGCTACGGAAAGGAAAGGGTTGCATTTGTCCCTGTTGATTCCTCACCCCAGCCCTTAAAGCTGAACCTCACCCCTTGCCTCCTGAGAGCAATGGGTCAGTCGCCTTCAGAGACTTAGGAAAGAGCGTCGACTCCTCCCCTCCTTTCATTACCCTTGGATTTTGTACCAGCCACTTTTACTTGACAGCCCTCCACACTCCTCTCCCCTCTCCCTGCCCTTCCTCCTCCTTCTCCTCCCTCACCCTCCTCCTTCTTTAATTTGGAGCTCTGAATGGGCAGATCTGTTTCTGGTCTGGCATCGCCGGGGTTTTCCCATGCGTTCGCCCCCGAGCTGCTCGGGTGTGAGACAAATCTCCCTACAATAGGCTTGCTGCCATTGTCTGTACAGTTTAATAGATGCTGGCATGTTGGAGGTTACCCATGAGTCTGCGAAATCCGCTTTCCATGCTTACTCTTGACACCCCATTGAAGCCACTCATTGTGTGTGCATCTGGGTATGAAAGTCCAGCTCAGTGTGGTCCTGTGCTTGTACTGCCCTGCTTTGCAGTTTCTTTGCACTTATTCATCGAGTGCTGTTTTGGAAATGCTTACATTATATGAACTAAAAAATGTAAAAAAAAAAAAAAAAGAAAACACCCCCGCCCCATAAGATCTGTATTTGTATATACACGTGTCCGTACAATTATACTTAAATAAAATTAAAGATTTTCATCATTTTAATTGGTTCTCCTAAGCTACATTTTTGTTCACTGACTTATGCCTTTATTTCCGGGGCTCTTTGTACCTACCTTATGTACCTGTGGTGATGGAAAGCAAGGGTGAAGAGGGCTTTTGGGTATGGTGATGGCCACCTAGGGCTGCAATTAACCGATGTCTGGCTGCCCTGCTTCTCCACCACTTTTTATGTGTTTGTAGCCTTTGCAGATACCTAGGTGGTTACTAAGGAGCGGTGCTGAGCAGGGACTGGAGTGGAGCCTGGTTTCCAGCACTGCCTTTGGGCCTCCAGAGCGGCCTTCCCGACTCCGACACGTAACCAGTGTCTGTTCGGTCGGATCCCATGCTAGGGCTGTGCAAACAGGGCAGTTGTTCCCCTTTACCCAGGATGCCCATCTGCCTGACAAGGACACGAGGTTGGAAGTGGCTTAAAAATCTCAGCTGTGTTTTAGTTCAAGACAAGAAAAGGATGGGGTGAGAGTGGTGGGAGCCTCGTGGGCGGGAGACCTTGGGCCACGGTGCCTCCTGACGGGCCGCTGAGGAATGGAAACCTCCTGCTCCTGCTCCTGTTCGTCCTGCTCCTGCTGCTCCTGGCCTCCAGCCCTGCCCCAGCAGCTCCCGTGGGGCCCCTGGAGAGGCCCCGGCTGGGATCGGCCTCGACTTGTATTTAGGTCGGAAATAGTTGTCTTGGCCAATGCCCTTTCACTAATCACACGATAGCTATAGTGGCTTAACTGGAGAAATTGGGTCATAGGAGGTGGGGGACACAAACTGAAACCTGTAATACATGCACCATGCATGCAAAACGCAGCTTTAATTACACCGTGTTGGCATTAAGCTCACTGAAAGCTTTTTATTACATTTAATTAGTTGACAGGGCAGCAAGTCCTAATTATAACTTACTGTAACCTCCTTCACAAATGAGGAGTGACAGCTCGCTTAGAAGAGAACTGCATGTGAAGATTTGACAGAGAGAACCGGTGCCGGGGACTCCTTCTTCCTCCGGAGCTGCGATTTTGCAAGAGGGGCAGGATTATAAGTGACACATGTTCAGTATGTCTTAACATAACAGCCGTGTCCAGAAAATATCCTGCGGTTTGACACGCTTAATAGCCTTTGCTCGGAGGGCTCTGCTGCTGCCGAGCGCGGCGTTGGGTTTCGCGGGGCGGCTCGGTGCGCACACAGGGCTGCTCTGCTCCCGCTCTGCCTCCTCGGGGCCGTCCCGCTCGCAGGGCACCGCCAGGGCGTCCCGCGAGGAGGAGGCCGACCTGCTCTGTGCCCACGTGCGTTTAGTAGCGCAAAGCTTGGTTTAGGTTAGAGATGTGGCGGCCAGCCGGGATGGTTGGAGACCAGCTGGGGTTTTTCTCCAAACCAGAGAATTTATTCCAGCCTTTAACAGCAAAGGGCTAAAACATCTTCTCTTCACTAGCGATTGTCCTTGTTAGGAGGCTTACTTTTCAGCATGGTCTCTGCTGAACTCGGTATTGCCAGCACGTGCCACAGAGCCCAGGCCAAGCCTCGGGCCGGGCTGCGAGGGCCGCACCATAGGCCGCTCTTAGCGTGCTGAGCGCTTTAGGGTGGGTTTGACTCGCTGCTTTGAACGGAGGCAAGCTGGCATGCTATATCGATTTAAATGTGTGCTTCAGATTTTCCTCTAGCCCAGATAGGAACCTGCAAAACAATGTATTGCTTAGATGCTAA